TTTGTAACTTGTTTAATATGATTGATTAAATTATAATAAATAGACGATTTCGAAATGCTGTTTTACAATGTAAAAGTTACCCTGGAACTGATTGTGGCAGCGATCATAACCAAGTTGTTTGTAAAATCAGGATAAAGAGAATCAAGAGTGAAGTGGTTCCAGAACGTTTGAATTTTGTCAGTCTGCCAAAAAATTAGATCAAGGTCAAATATAACGTTGAAGTACAAAATAGTTTTCAGGTATTGACGGAAGACATAAATAAATCCAAATATCAAATATTTAGAGATGCCATCACAGAATCTGCAATAGAAGTTATATCTGTGAAGGAGAAAAGAGGTCAGAAATGGATAACAGATGACATCGTATCTCCGATGGATGAACGAAGGAAAGTAAAAGGTTGCAATCCTGATAGTTATAAAAAGCTGGGCAAAACAAGATATGGTTAGGGTTAGGGTTAGGGTTAGAGACAAAAAAGATATGGTTAAATAACAAGTGCGAAATTATTGAAAAGATCAAAAACAGTAACACAAATGCAAAATCACTGAAAAAAGAGCTTGTACAGTTTCTGGATGCATAAAAGCTAAATCCGATAAAGTAATCATAGAGAAAGAAAAAGTACTTGAAAGATGGACTTGAATACATTAACGATCTTTTTGATGATATCCGTGGTGAAAAGCCTCTTATTAAAAGAGAAGTAGAAAGACCAAAGATACTTAGATCTGATGTTCGTGCAGTGAATTCTCTCCAGACCTCTAAAATCTTGTTGAATATCACCACATTTCAACTACTACAAAGTGTTTAGATCGAGTTTTGTGGAGGTCGATCGTCGTCAATGTCCCAAAAGGATAAGGCACGAGAAAGAAGCAGTTCAAAGCTAAATTCATCAGGGCATTTAATTTCTTATTTTTATTTAATTCATCGAAAAAATTGTTAATGTATTCAGTTAATCTTTCAAGTACTTTTTCACGGAAATCCATGGATATATATCCATGCGGAAATCATTAAAAAAAGTTAGAAAAACATATACGGGCCATGTCTATTAGCATGATGAATTCTGATAACTTTATTTTTGTTTCAATATATTAAACCATTTTCAGAAGTTTCTAGTAAAGAAAAATAAAAGACAAACATTAAACAGGTTAAAGCCAACAATTCAGTAGAATTGGTTCATACAACGTTCATTGTATCAATCTTAGGTTAACTTGTTTTGAAATAATTTTACACGGTTTAATAATGTAGAATGTGCATGCATTTATCCGTGGTTTAACATTTATGTTACGTAGTTAACTAAGCTCAAGCTAAAAAAGTAAATTAATAGAAAAATAACAATTTATTTACAAATTCAAAAATTAACATTTCGTTGGTCTAATCAAAATTATGTTGAAAATAAGACTAAATGTTTTTATGAACTTTTTCTAAAATAAACCTATTTCTTAGAACATTGAAAAGTACGAAGTAATTAGGGAACAACAGAAAAGCAATTGTTAACATATTATTCCACTGATTGGAGAATAATAAAGTAATAAATTCATATAAAATGAGCAGCAGCGTAAAACAAAGTATCCCATTTGTAACTCGCAGTGGTTTCTGGAACATAAACTGAAAGTATTAATATATTTGTTCATTTGTTAATATTAATACAATCGACCTCTTTATAGCGAACTTTCACACAATGAAAATCTCTATATAACGAATTCTTTTGTTCCTTGGAATTTTACATATAAAACTGTTTCTATAGAACGAAAATAACTTCTCTAAGACGAACAAAATTTATAAAAGTTAAAAGAAATATCCGGCCGGCAAACATTCCATGAATCGATCCGAGCAGTGTTTTTGTACTCCTTTAATTTTCTAGAACCGTATTTATTGTTTATCGTTCTAGTGTTCTATTAATTTTTGCAAATTACACTCCAATTAATTTCAATGGAATCTGAATCATCGTTGCATGGGACAAAGAATACATTTGTTTGCAGTTATACCATGTATTTACTACTTTCTGTTATCAAAACAAATGATTGGAAGGTTGTTTTACATAAATATATAGCATATAACCACCTTTTAAGCAATATAGAATTTTTTCCCAAAAAATTCTATTTAAGGAAATTTCTATATAACGAATTTTTTTCCTCGAACCATCAAATTCGTTATATGGAGGTCCGACTTTATATTAATTCATTTGTGAACAACATTGTCAAATTCAGACAAAAACTAACATAAAATCTGGTATGCATGACATTTCCAGGCTCAGCTGCATTGACCATTCCGGCAGCCCTGAAGAGGCCTTTAACATGTTTGACTGTTGAATCTTGTGGGAACAACTGCAGCTCAGACCAACTGCAATTCAAAGGATCGAAATTAATGAATGGTGCCGCATTTTAAAACTGCAAACTGCGCTAAATATACATGATTTGTCAGTTATTATTGAATAGAAAAAAAAAATTTCAAACATTAAGAAGCATATACATTTATAATAAAAGATGCAGCGTAGCGTTGAATTAAAAAATAATTTTTTAAATATATTATATACAAACGTCAGCACACAAAACTCGTGGTGACAGTCATCTAATCTAGACTTAATATTTTTTATTTATTTTATTTGATTTATTTTGAATAAAAATGTTAGCAAATAATAGAAGGACAACAACGAACGATAATAGAGACATGTGGGGAGCAAATCTAGCTTCAATCTTGGTCCAATTGCCAAGATGAACTGAGCATCGGTGGAGAACATCAAGATATTTTACTGGAAAGTAATGGTTAGCAAACAGGACGGTCGATCCAAGCCATACTAATAGAATGTACTGAACTACCCACCAAATGTTATATTGTAGGCTACTCTAATTTTTAAAAATAAATGTTCAAACATGTTATCACCAGAAGAATAAAGAACGCGTGTACGTGTAATGAACATCCCTATCTTCAAATTCAATCAATCATTTTAAATTCCTCAAAAACTTTTATTTAATTATATAATTAATTAAAAGTTGTTTCAACAATCTGCTATTGACAAAAAAAGTATGGAGTAGTTACTGTGTGTAAAAGTGAAAAGATAAACTTGATATATATTATAATAAAAAAAAAACCACTTGTGCAAAGCGAAGAGGAACACAGGCCATGTAGTAAGCACATAGCATTGAGTTGAAGAGAATTTGCATCATGCGAGTGTTGAAATCTGACTTTAATCGTTCTGTTTCTTCTCTGATTTCATCAGGTGATAGAGAACATGCATGTATGGGCGTTTCTGATTGACAATCTTTCTGATTGCCTAACATATTATCAAACAAATTAAAAATTTAAATTATTGATGCACTTGACCAACACAAAATTAAATAGTTTCAACAGTTCTAAATGGCCCTACACACGCTCCGACTCGCCTGAATGTATTATTTTCTGTACACGTGCTCTGTTTTGTATTTCGTCTTGCATTTTGTTCAGTGAATTATTATTATTGTACTTATTGTTTTAAAAAGTCAACATGTAAGTTGATTATCATACGGAACAAAGTCGGTACAGTTCAATGAAATCAGATAAAAAAAAGTTGTGTAAAACATGCTATCCACTCATATTATATTATAAAGCATAGTAAGAATATTCAAAATGAAAAAATAAAATAAGTTAGCGTGTAGTCACAGGAATGGATTGATAAAATCCGTTGAAAACTGTGCAGTTTGACTGTGCGCACAAATTCCCGTTCAGATTAGTCTGCACGACCGTTCAGTTTGGATCATATTTCAGAAAAATCAGAATAAGCACGCCAGGCTTACTGTATATACAGATCGCTGGAACGATGCGTGAGCGCTCCGATATAATTGCACAAACCAGGCCTTCGCAGGAAAGCTTGAAAATAAACTGAATCGTGTGTAGGGTCATTGACATATCAGTTTCAACAGCTCTAATACATTAGCCTCAACAGCTCTAACTTATCAACTTTAGCTAAAACATCAGCTTCAACAACTCTAACACATCCATTTCAACTTTAGCTAAAACATCAACATCGACAAATCAAACACATCAGCTTGATCAGCTCTAGCACATTAGTTTCAACAGCTCTAGCACATCAGTTTCATCGGCTCTAACACAACCACTTCAACAGCTCTAACACATCTGCTTCAACAGTTTTAACACATCAGCTTCAACAGCTCTTCAGTTAACACATCTACTCCAACAGCTCGAGCACATAAGATTTAACAGCTCTAACACATCAGATTCATCAGCTCTAACACATTAAATTTAACAGTTCAAACACATCGGCTTAAACAGCTATAGCACATCAGATTCAAATGTTCTAACACATCTGATTCAACAGCTTTAACACATCAGCTTCAGCTAACATACCAAATTCAACAGCTCTAATACATCAACCTTTAATAAAGCCAACACATTCGCAATAAAAAAAAACAAAACTTCAGTAAATAGTCAGAAATATTATTCATGTTGCCATTTGAATATGCTGCATTGTCAAATATGCTTAAAAACAAAATGTGCAAAGAACCTATAAAAAATTGATAATAAAAAAAATAGCCTAACTTATTACTTGCTGGACTGGAAGTTTGCAGAAAAGTGCTTTAAAGTTGAATTGAAAGAGAATGACGTAAGTTATTAACCTGTAAATGTCATAAATAAATAAATGCGCTATCTCTTTATATAAATTAAAATGTTGTTCAACATAATTTCTAACAAAACATCACTAGATAAATCACCACATCTCATGTATTTAAATAGTATTATTGAAACAGTTAATATTATAGTTATAATACTAATTTGAATTTTACAAAAGGAATTAATCTCAAAAATGAATATACAAAAAAAATTCAAAAAAGTTTAAAGATCTATCTGAAAAAACTGGATCTTTTTGGACATATTTACAGCATGCCAGATAACGGGCAATTGTAACGATACTAATGTGATGAGAAAAGAAAATGGGTGGACGGCATTACAGAATGGACTGAATAGTAATGCTAAATTTAAAAAGATAGAAAAAATTTAAGAAATCGACAAGAAGTTGGACGCCATCGGCCTATTAGTTAGTTAAGGGAATAGAGAGGATCATTGAATGATTGATTGATTGATTGATTGATGATTGATTGATTGAGTGATTGATAACAATGATGATTACTTTCCTTAATTTTTCCACCAACTGCATAACAATGAAACATCAGTACTATTTTATGACAACAGATATTTACAATATTAACAGAATACTGAGAATAAAACTTTTAGCATTAAAACGGATTTAAAGATAAAGAAAAGTCATCGAATTTTCGTTTAACAGCGCCGAAATACAGAATAGACTGGATACCCAGCAAGCCATTTGTCAAAATGTACTTAATAAAGTCCTATAAAGAATCATCTCCTGAATGTGCACAAAACGACAATAACCAAAAAATCTAAATAAATTTTTGCGGGGGAAAGAGTCGGAATTTTTTGAGGAACCGGAATTGTATATTTTATATCTGACTCCGTACTATTACTCCGTTAATATGTGTGAATGGCGTGTTGACATGCATCCGCGAGTACGATAGCCCGTATGAAAGAGTGTTATACGCTACCTCTCACAACGAGCAATAATTTTCATTCATACATGCATAAACATCTATTACTAACGGGTAGCAGAGAAATGAACAATAAATAAAGCCATTTCTCCTAACGACTCGGTAGCCTGCATAAAGAAAAGCGATTAATACAGAACTAGTGATAATAAACTTCAAACATCGTACCAGCATGTACGTGAAATAATGTTCTGAACTCTTATTTGGCAACTGTAGAAATAATAATTCACAAATAATTAAAAAAATTGATATGTAAATAAAGTTTACAAAATAATTTTTAAACAAACCTCTTGGTAAACAGAGTATAAAAAACGTCTTCCCATAAAAATTACGAGTACAATAACCAAGTTTACATCAATCAACTGAAAATTCTGCGTGTTGGTAAATAAAATACGACAAATATGAGTTAGATATTGTAGCTTATAGCAGTGATTTTGTATAATAAAACTGCGGTAGTAGCACTTTGAAAAATATATAACAATCGTGAACTTAGAAAAAAAAATTCAAATGTCAAAACGTCAAAGCTTCAAATGACCCTTGAAAAATAAGTTAATAAGAAATCTGTTATATACAACAACAACACACGTTTAAACGACATTTTCCCCGAGATCGGGGGTTGCCGTTTGGCTACCTATGATGAAACCGAAATACCCCTTGACGCCATTCCATCATAAGTAATTTATTTGGCTAATTTTTACGCAGGACGCCCTTCCTTTGATGATCCAAAATCACTCACAAGGCAGTGTGGGTCAGTTTAATGTCATAACCAGGACATAATAAGAAATCTGTTATATATATATATATATATATATAATCTGTTATATATATATATATATATATATATATATATATATATATGTTGGTAATAGACCATAATTTTTACAATATTCTATAAATTCTACTGAATGTTTGGCGTTAATATGTTTGTAGTTCGTTTTTTCGATTTTTCTCAGTAAAGTTTTTTGGTGAACGTTTAGTTTATTAAAATTCAAAATAAACTTATTTTCGAATTCATGCGCAAAAA